GGGGGGGTGTAGTTGTATAGAAATATAAATTATATCTCAGAACTTCTACATATGTGCAGGTCATTTTTTAATATCCAACAAGCGTACTAACTGTGGAAGTTTACCAGTAATTGCCAAAAGTAACAAGATGCAATAAATTTCCTCATAGTCTGTTGGAAGTCTGTGAATCCGTATCATCATGCCAGCTAATTATACATAAAAGTTTCCCTCAGCATAAGAGTAATTATTTAAAATATCTAATTATTTTGGACTGCAAACAGAATAAAAAAATTTCATAAAAAACTAACGTATGCCAGAATATAATTTCGGAATCAAATGTTGCTTGCAGAAAAAATAGCCTGGAATCACATCCTATGTAGACAACTCTATGGGGAATCAATAATTTTGACAATAAAATAAAGATACCAGCATGCTCTACATTGATGAAGCTCGTACACACACCTGAAATTGCCAAGTGTTAGTAGCTGAGTAATTTCCTTATATAAATCTTCATTAAAGGTTGAGAACACTTTCAAGTCACCCACAAGAATCTCAACTGCCTTTGCTTTGTCTTGCCTGATGATAGCAATTAGCATTAGAAGTAGAATGAATAAGAGTACAAAAGAAAATAAAGAATAACTGAAGAACCCTATAATTAAAGTATGAAGAATTTTTTTGAAAAAAATCTTTCAACAGATGCATGTCTTAGATTACCGATCAAGAGCTTCAAGATACTTTTGCTTTCTTATTTCAAAGAATATCTTCATAGAGTATCTATTGTCGTCCACTTTTGTAAAACCAGATAAGTACTTCTCAACTTCATCCCATTCACCGGCATGCACTTTCTCCTCAAAGTATTTCATATTAAAGAAAAAACCCGACTCCTGCTCAAGCCTACAAACAGAGAGTCGACATAAATTAGTAAGGGCAACACTCTAAATAAAGCAAGCAATAAAAATGATGTTTCTCCCGTTGCATTGAAGTGCAAAGAGAATAAACAGTTCTGATTGATAAAACTTGATGTTAGTAAGTGTCGTTACACGGTCTACTGAACAGCCTGTAAACATGTAGCTGACATCTAACTAGAAAATACAACCCAGTCTTTTATAGAACCTTTCTTCCCACTACTTTTCCATGGCAATTACACATCAATTAGAGGCATAAATCTCATTTCCATCCATGGCCACCAAAATCGAGCAAATTCACCACCAAAATCTAACTTTCAAAAACTGCACTGCACCAATTAACTGTTCACTAAAATACTATATCTTCTCATCGTTCCAACTGAAAAACATAGTAAAACAGAACTTAACAAAGGTCAGTAACTCCCTCCTCTCCTCCCAAGCACATCTCCAGACAAACACGAGCAGTAAATACAAAAGGCCAAAATTCCAAACAAACATACATCAAAGCAACATAACCAGAAAGGAAAAAGAACAGAAAAAAAAAAAAGAAAAAGAAAAAAATGAACCCCCAAATCAAATCACACACACAGTTACAACAAGCTGGACATCAACAAACATTTGACCAAACAAGCATGCATCGAAGCCCGTTTAACCGGAAATGAAACTACAACAAACAAACAATCAAACTAGAAACAGCCAAATTCAAAGCACACAAACAGAGTTCCAAATTTTTTTTTTTTAAAAAAAAAAAAGCTGGACATCATCGTACCTGTGAACAGACTCCTTGAATTTCTCCTCCTCAAGGAACTGAAGAATTAAGAAAACCAATTCTCTGCTGAGCGACGACATATTTCCCCCCACCTTGAATTCCACAAAATCCCAAGCTAAGATCAACAGATCGAACCAATTCACAAACAAAACACAGCTCTCAACCCACGACTTCCCCTGATTTTCCTCTTCTTTCTAGGGTTTCTCCGAACTCACACACAGACTGCGATGCGATGAAGAAGGAAAGGTAGAGAGAGAAAGAGACAAAGAGGAGACTTGCAATCTCTCTCTCTCTAAATATATAAGACACATTTATAGAGAGAGAAGTATGAGAGGTTAGTGGTGGGGAAAAAATACATGGCCTCGCTATCTCCGATGCGTTTGGCAGAGGAGTGTCTATCTTTTTCCACTGACCTATCACTCATAAGCTAGTTTGATTATCAATTTCTGCTAACTTATCATTTGATAACTTATTGTGCTTATCAAAATGGTTATCGTTGCGTGTGGTTGAGGGGGGATTTGTGGAGGTTGGCGGATTTGAAATGTGGAACTCAAATCCAGTTGAATATATTCGGTTTGGATTACGGACGGTTATTCATGTCGCTATCCTTGCCTGTGTGTCCCCTATTTAATTTATTACTAATAATTAATTAATTAGAGTGTAAAATAATCGCCCTCGCGTGGGTTTGATTAAAAAATTAATAATTTATACTATTTCCTATTTTTAATATATGTTATTTTCACAAGTTGCACGTTAATTAAAAATATTTTTTTTGTCAATAATAACTTTATTTAATGAAGATAAAGATGAATGTTTTGAGATTAAGTGAAAAGTGAATATGAAAAGACTTAATGTATTTATTAACTAAATGAGGGTAATAATGGAAAAATATGTATAAAAGATCTAAAACGACATTTATTTTGCAAATAGTTGATAAAACTAGAATGAGATTTAAAAAAAATAAGAGAAAGTATATTATAAACATGGGACAAAATTTAAAGGTAAGAAACTAAGAAATTCTGAACCAATCTATGGAAAATTATGAATTAAATATATAGTCTGTACATTGGTCAAACAAAATAGATCTCTTGTATAATTTAGACAAATAATTAATTTATATTTGATAAAGGTGAGTGTTTGATCTTAATATTAATAGTCACTGCATTGTGACCTTTTATCATTGTAACTTTTTATCGTTTCACAAATATTATAGATACATAATATTGTGGCTTTTCTTATCGTTTTAACAATACATAAATATATCGTTTTAATCAATACATATATATATATATATATATTTATACCGGTATGAATCGATTCCATTGAAAAACATGATTAAATGCGGGTTGAAATATTTCGTGACAATTGTCAATTGACGTGTTCTTTACAAAGAAAGTAGACAAAATACCATTCCTTTTCGAAAAAAAAAAAAGTATATTGTATTTCATGCCATATATATTTAATCGTAATTACAAATATAAAATATGGTACATTTTATTAATTTATTTTCTTTTACTCTTACTAATTTCCTTTCTCTTGCATTTTTTTTTTCTTTTTTATATTTTTGAGCTGTTGTTTGTTGTTTTGTTATTTAACCTTCTCTCTCTTTTTTTTTTCAAAAAAGTTGAATATCTAGATTCATTCAACTAATGTCAAGGAATCGAAAGATCCCGAAAAAAGAAAGAGAAAAAAGACGGCAGAGAGTCCGTCCAAAGAAACGAGTCAGGTGCCTCTAAAGCCCATTTAGCTAGCTCATGAGCAATAACATTATTAGCTCTAGCAACATGACTACAAACACCACAATTCAAGGATGACAAAAGATTGATAATATCTTCGAAAACATGTTGCAACGCATCATTTAGAAAGCGGTCAATAATTCCATGGATGACATAAAGAGCATCAGTCGCCGCAGTTTGAATCATTAACCCAGATTCAACAGAGTCCGAACCGTAAGGCTATAGCTTCAGCAGCTGCCGGAAAAAAGGATCCAGATTGTCGAGATGCGAAAGCGGCCCAACACACTCTATCTGAATCACAGACCCACCCTCATAAACTAATTGACGTCTCACGTATAGCTGCATCACAAAAAAGGGTGAATCCATTTTTGCAAGTGTCAGGCCCAAGCCAAGAATCCGCATTCCCCCGAGTCAGTGGTCAGTTTGAAGTGGTTGTTCATGAATATACAAGGCTCAACTCCTCAAGCTACCCTCGTCCAGATGCCAAAACTTGTTCGACACTTCTCCCTGCCAGACCATGTCGTAGACGATTTCTCTCTTGCCAAATAAGCCATAAGAGAGTGGCGAACATAGTGAACTCATTTCTCCTCTGTCCATCAAGAATTTTAGTGAAGATAGAAATAAAGCCCATGTCGAGCCGACCCGCTAATATGTCCGACCATCCAGTCAATTTCCAAAGACGTTTGACCCACTTAATTACAATCAAAGAAGACATGGACATTCGATTCCCATCCTCCGCATCTGTGGTAGTTTACTTCCACATTTATGTGACGCCGAGCCAAATTCTCGAAAGAAGGAAAAGCATGTTTGCTCAGTTTCCATAAAAAAAAAACTTTCGGAACAACATTTATTTCCACAAAGTTTTCCACCACCTCGTATTGCTATTCGAACAAGTTTCTCGGGAGTCATCAGGGAGAGATTTGAATAAGTGGTATCACTTTTCACCGTATAAAAACCACTCCTTGAGTGGTGCCAAATTAATCGATCCGCATAGTGGGTAAGACTGAAAGGAATACAGAGAATCTTTTTAGCGTCAATCGGTAAAAAAAAACGTTATTATCAAATTCTCGTTCCAAGAACCGCTTACTCTGATGAGATCCTTTACTCGATCTATACCCAAATAGTTTTATTTTTCAGTATTTCTCCTTTTTTATTTAGTAATAATGTCTTGTTTTAGTAATGTCCAAATAATATGCAATTCATTTTGTTTTATATGATTAAATCATGCGATTTTGTGTAAATAAGTGAGATATGTTACCACATCATGGAACTTGTTTTTGTATGGATTGTTTTTCACTAAAGAGAAATGGCCCATTAATACGTCTAGCAATAATGCTATGGTGTCGTTACAGAACCATTTCGTCGGGATTTGTAACCATTAGATCATTAAAAAACCATTAGATTAGTTAAATCTAACAGTTACAAATCCCGACGAAATGATTTTATAACGGGACCGTAGCATTTCCCATATGCAACAGTTGGATGAAATGAGTGGATAGAGGTCCTCCACCGAGGCCAAGCTATTTCAAGTCTTATTTTCACGCGTACACTTCTTTGTGCTCACCTTTCTTTGTTTTTCTACTTTTCTTCTACTCTCAATCTAAAGCCCTAACATATGGATTTTGATTCATCCCTTGCTCACCCCTTTTCCTGTCGGAACACCTCCATTTTCCGGCGAATGACGTCATCTCCCTGGCCGGTTCTTGGTTTTCCGGCGCGGTGACGCCACACCCGCTTTTCCCCTGAAAGCTCATTT